ATAAACAAAAATAAATAAAGTATATATAAAAAACGAAAAATAAAGTTAAAAAACCATGTGATGTAATTTTTTGCAAACTACAGGGACCAAATTTGAACTTTAAACCTAATTTTAGGACTGATTTTGCAAAAATAGTTAACAAAGTTAACTATGAAACTCGTTAAGTGGGTTAGAGTGATAATTCTACGAGAAAATTGTGGCCGTAGCAATAATAAAAAAGTTAGAGTTTTTTCCAATTATACGCTAAAAACTTAGGGCTTCTATGATATTAGTCCTATAAAAAATATACTCAAAAGTGATATTTCTATATAATTTTTGTGATCACAAAGCAGCTAACATGCCTAATAATTTCAAACCATGGTGATTGAAAGAAAGAAGATGTTTGTGGTTAATAGGAATGTGCAAAAAACAAAATCCATACAAAAAAAAAGAGTAAAAAACAGAAAATTCAAAATTGAGATATACCAAACCATTTTGAAATGCCATCGGGTTGTTTTTTGGTATCTATAAAAAACCGATTTTATCGATTCAATTTAATTTCTAATTTCTAATATATTAATACATAAAAGGAACCAATAAACTAGTGATTTGATATCTCTAAATTTGGTTTTTGTTGTGGTCGAAAAGGGATTCATTTTCACCCCTAGTGATTAACAAACTCTGTTAAATAGTCAGAGAGTCTTATATTTAAATTATACAAATATATATATATATATATATATATATATATATATATATATTTTTAAAGTATGTTGTTTTTTGAAAAGTTTTTTAATCATAATGATTTTTCGAAACTAATTTACAAACATAAGTGATTTTTCCAAAAGAAACAATAAAATAGTAATTTTATTAGAAATTAAAAAAAAAAAAAAACTTAGAAAAGTTATATATCTTTTTTTCTAGTGGAAACGGCCGAGAATTATATAAATATACCCACGCTAGCAAGAAACTAGACGAGGGCCAAGGAGATACAGTCAATTACATATCAATAAATGGAAAAGGGGATACACTCCAGCTCTCCCAACTACAAATTCCTTTTTTACCCCTACATTTGATCCATAGATAAACTAATGTCTTAATGTTCTCGACCGCTTGAGTAGGGATTTTTTTTTTTCTAGTTATTATCATAATTATGACATAGGATGATAGGAATACCATTAATTCTTTTTTTTTTAATCTCTCTTTTTACTTTGATCAAATGAATATGAAAAAATAGAAATTCTAAATACTTGTTAACAAACTTGATTCACTAAGAAAATTTGAAAGGGAAAGTTTAAATGGGCTTATCTTTATGGGCCATAAAACCCTAACCCGTCATAAGACTGATAAGAGGTTAAAAACTACATCTTGACGAAACCCTAGTCTGGTGGTTCCCATCTCTCATCCTGCAGATCGGTTCTCCGGAGATCCTCAGCCATGGTAATTTCTCCTTCGTTAATCATTTCCTTAGGTTACAAATTACGTATTTGATCTGTAGTCTGTAGCATATTCAGCTCGATGAACTCAAAACCTTATCTTAATCTGTATTAGCCTATTAAGAACCGCTTTGTAGGGTAATCCGAATCATTTTGTAACTAGACTTTCTCGTTTCCAACCATATTTCGTTTGCCCGATCTGTGCCAGGAATTTTACCGCTTTTTCTTCGTTCAGTATTCACTCATATCTCATAATGCGATTGTAGAATTGAATTGCAGTTCTAAGTTCTTTCGCTTCATTCTTCTTCTGAAACATTCTTCGTGCTTCCGCTAGGTTATTTGAGATCCCACGAATGCATACTGAAACGTTCTTTAATGAATTATGTTTATCTTCCTTTCCCATGAAAACTGCGATCATCTGAGATCTTTCTTTTTGCGAATTCTGAAACTAAACTTCCACATTGTCATTGGAAATCAAAGTATTTAACATTTTGTTATTGTTTGCAGGTGAATGTTCCCAAAACTAAGAAGACTTACTGCAAGTCAAAGGACTGCAGAAAGCACACATTGCATAAGGTGACGCAATACAAGAAGGGAAAAGACAGTTTGGCTGCTCAAGGGAAGCGTCGTTATGACAGGAAACAATCTGGTTATGGTGGACAAACCAAGCCTGTCTTTCACAAGAAGGTGAACATTTTTTTAAATTTTTTTAGTTGAGTGTTTTCTGGTTTAGATAAAACATTTGGGAAAATAACACAATTTTTAGTTGGAATGTAAGGATAAAATGGTCATTTGGCATTTATAAATGTATATAGCTTAATGGATTTAGTTGTGTATTTAGGCAAAAACCACTAAGAAGATTGTGTTGAGGTTGCAATGCCAAGGGTGTAAGCATGTGTCTCAACACCCAATCAAGGTTAGTAATTTTACACTCATATTTGTTTGTTAGTAATGTTTTTTTTGGTAATAGTTAATAAATAATAAAATAATGAGTAAATTACACGAATGGTCCTTATGGTTTAGGGTAATTTGCATGTTTAGTCCCTAACTTATTTTTTAAACTCGGAAGGTCCCTACTGTTTGTTTTTGTTACGCGTTTGGTCCCTGTCTTACCTAAAAGGACTATTTTTCCCTTGTTTTTTTTTAATTTATTTATAAACACTCCCCTAACCCACCCCTCTAACGTTACCTTGCCTACCCCACCATTTTTTTCCTATTTAAATAATAGTTTTTTTAGATAAGACAGGGACCAAGAGCGTAACAAAAACAAATAGTAGGGACCAAGCGCGTAACAAAAACAAATAGAAGCGACCTTCCGAGTTAAAAATATAAGTTAGGGACAAAGCATGCAAATTACCCTAAACCATAGGGACCATTCGTGTAATTTACTCTAAAATAATTAATAAACAATGTTGTTTTTTTCAGAGGTGCAAGCATTTTGAAATTGGTGGAGACAAGAAGGGCAAGGGAACTTCTCTTTTCTAAGCATTTTATTATTATTTTGTGTTATTTTGATAAAATGTTTAGACTTTTAGATGCTACAACTCCTTTATGTTTTTATGCGAGTATGTGTTTGGTTTTTATTGTATGGGTTATTTGCTATTTCCTATTTTAATCATTCTTAAATATTTCAATTTTTTTGCAATTATAAAAGCACCGATCTAGAAAAAAGAAATTGACCAATTTAATTGCATACAAAAAAGAGCAAATAATAACAAGCTAGTTGCTTTCTTGCTCAATGAACTGTAATAACAAGCTAGTTGCATTATAGAAAATATAATGTGAGAAGTAACAAAAAAAAGACATAATTTAAACATTAAAAAATTTAAATAAGGCATGAAAATGATTTTTGGAAAGGATACAATGTTCTACCAAAAAATGAAAGTTGGATGATATAACAAACAAATGAATGAAAGATAATTCTTGCATTTAGCCATATCTGCAAAATGACCTAATAGAAAGAGTTAAAACTAGAATGAATTTAAAATAGGATGTTATCTTCATAATAGTGTTAAATGCAAATTATGCAATAAATAACAAACGTACTTTGATTGATTTGTTAATTATTGCATCCTATTTCCATTTCTTCCATTCTACTTTAAAAGATCAACCTAACTCTTAACAATATTAGTGAAATACAATTGTACATATTTTCAAAAATAAACACTGCCTTCTACTCTCATCTCTTCCAGAAATGTGCTCTAGAGATGTAACGACAACCCATAAAAAAGTTTAGCGACATATCGAATACACAGTTAAAACATAAATGACCTAAATAACAAATTGCGTATTATTAATTCTCAATTTATGACGTTAACACTTAATAATATTATATGAATTGAAAATTTACAATATTAACTTACACTTTTTGACAATCAAAACTCATATATTTGGATTAGTTTGGACCAGAACTTAGATTTATAATTTATATTTTGGATTTCGGATCAGTTTTGGTTATTATCATGATCGCCAAATAGTCCAAATTAATACATTATAAGGTTAATTTTGCAAATTTTTTTATTCACAACTGAACCATCGCTTTTGTTTCCTCTATTACAGTTTGACTAAGTTGACTTTGTGGAGTCACTTTTGTTAATGTTATAGTTGTATACTTGTATATGAAAAAAGCAACATAAATAGTATATCTTGAAGGATCCACATGATCAAGAAACGTCAGTAAAAAATAACAGTCAATCATGCCTTTTGTCCATGAAATATATCTTATTAGCCAAAAAATCTTACAAACACAAACACAACAGAAGACAAATTCAAAAGATGCCCAAATATCTGATGATGATGATGATGATGATGATATTCGGATATCACAGAGGCCCTGGAAATACCCCATTCTCCCTCTGTTCATTCCATCTGTCAACCTGCAATAAAATAAAAACCTACTTTCACCACTACAGAAAATAGTTAAGTTGCCAAAAAAAGATCTAGTGGCATTTTGGTAATTAATGAGTTAAATCAAAAAATTACAAAAGAAAGAATTAACTACTCACCCATTCACCAGGGCAAAGAGAACGATAGAATTTAGCAAACTTGTCACATTCTGAAGCATCATCACCCTTTGCTGCAACACATCTGCACTCAAATCATAAAATACCATTATACTTTCCATTCTTATATATATATATATATATATATATATATATATATATATATATATATATATATATATTTTTTACTTTTTCCATTTTTATTTATTTATTTATTATAGCAATGTAACTTCATATTTTTTCTTATAAATGTTAATCAAAGCATATGCATACCTGTGAAACTCTACATAGCGTGTGAAACAGTGTCTGCTTTGGTTTGTTGTTGGGAAACGATAGTCACCAGGTGCAGTCTTCAATTCAATCTGTGTTAAGGATTCATTATTCTTCATCTTCTTCAACAAAGACATCAAATATCACAAAAAATATATACTTGAAAGTTGTGACATATAAGGCTTCAATCGGATCAAACTCCATAATCAAACAAAATCCTTCCTGGTTCTCCATAATGATAACAAGATAACATCAAAAGAGGACAGAATTTCATCAAAGGTCGATAATTTAACCTAATTCCATTTCTCATGTTGTTCGAAACTATACCTAAATTCGGGATTTCATATAGCAACAAACGAAGTATCAAAGTCAGACAAAAACGTATAACAAAGATAGAATTGAAAGCCTAATCGTACATAGCACTTAGCGGAACATAATCGAATCGCGAATCTATAGATCCGAAAACACGAATAGAAATGCAGATTACGAAGGATGAGTTCATCATACACAGATCAATCAAGTAGAAAATGTAAACATTAAATCAATATGAAATAAAGGTGAAAAACAATCATTGTTCAATACCTCGGCCATGGATGATTGATTAGAAAATAGTAGCGAAGAAGACGAAAGCTCTGTTTCCAGCGCACACAAAATGGGAAAAGTTTGTGTCTTTGACAAAACACAGATAATGTTACATTCTCACCCCTTGTAGTTTGTGGTAAGTTAACACCAAACACCAAAGTTATCATTATGTTCACAAACTAGTGGAATGACCCGCCTATACTTTCGACATAATTTTTGTAACAATCTGTTACATAGGGTCTATTTCTGTAATTTATTTGAAATACGGGGACCATGTAGCTAAATTCGCAATTGTGTAGGGATAATTTTTATAATTTTGTGATAGTAAAATTGTTGTTATTTAGAGATTATTTCTATAAATTGCATGTTAAGTGGGGACAATTTCTGTAATTTATGAAACATAAAGACTATTTTTGTAATTTTCAATTAAGCAGACGCGTTTCTATAATTCTGTGAAAGGCAGGGAGAGGGAGTTTTTATTTGTAAATTTATAATTATATAGAGATCATTTCTTTAATTTTGTGAAACATAGGGTCCAGTTCTATAATTTTATGAAACATAAGGATCATTTTTATAAATTTCTTATTAAGTTTAGGAAAATTAAGACAATTTTAACCAATAAAATTACCTTAAAAAGATGTCTAAATGATAAAATGAGATTTTTTTTAGCCATCCACACGACTTCCTAAAAGTGGCTACAAATTTGTAAGTATTGTATAATTTAAAATGGTTAATTCCAAATAATAACAATCCAATTTAAATACAATTTAAATTATTTTTTTCTTCTATAATACTAGTAACATATTTATATTATTTATACTTATAATAACAAACACTTCAACTCAATGTATAATCTAAATATTCATTCCAACCGGGGATTATTAAGATATATTTGGATTTGCAACCATTTTATCGGTGGCCTAAGATGTAAGTTGACTTGAAAACTTATCTTAGGTGTTGTTTGTTTTTTCTGAGTCAACATGTCTGCCGTCTACATACTACATCTGTAGATCTCTGTAGTAGAAGAGATGGACCAAACGTCTGCAGTCTGACAAAAGAAGACTATTTGTTTTTTTAACATCTGCAGACTACTAAAATAAACTAAAATCTAAATAAACTGATTTTTTTAACTGCAAAGTGATTATTTAATACTTTTATGACTTTGTTATAAATAATTAACAAATCTAGATCAACTTTTATATATTATTATATAAAAAGTGAAAATAAAAATGGTAAGAATTAACGTATATATTTGATAAAAACCAACAATCTTGGTCACAAAGTTATACCTAAATATTGTAATTAAGAATAAAAGAATTTGATACATAAATTGATGGAAATAAACTTCGATTTTTTCAATTAAACCAATTAAAAACGTACCATAAATACTTTCCAAAGAAATTGACGATATTGTATTAAATAATGTTTTATAAAATTTGACACAAAAAATATAAGAATAGATTATGATTTTTTTAAATATTTATATAAACAACTTCAACGACCATTATTTTAATAAATCTTTATTTATAAATTTGTCAAAAATATCATGTTTGTGTCGTCGAACCTTTTTTTAATGTATTGTAACTTTTTTTTTTCAAATTGTTTATCATTAATAAAGTTGGAATAAATATAAATTAAAAAAAAACTAAAAAAAGAAAGATATATGTGTTTTTTTAAGCTAGAAGATGTCTAAAGATGTTATAAGACTTTGGTCTACATCTACGCCAAGAAGAGGGCGCACAAACATTTTTAGGTTTGTAGTACTAAAAAAAACAAACAGTCTGTAAAGGCTAATGTCTGCGCGGCGCAGACAGAAGAGGCCAAGAAGATCTGTAGACAAAAAACAAACAACACCTTAGACAACTTTCAACACTTCTTAGACCATCTTCAACACTTCCTAGACATTAATGTAAAACGGGAACCAACGACCTATGGTCTCAAAAAAGAAATATTCCATGTATAATTTTCCTTATGCCAATATGCAGTCATACAATGTGGCTGCCACTCCCACATAAATATCGAGCAAACTTAGCACAAATGCTACCAGATCTGACCATTTTTTTTAACGACAAATCTAATCTACTATTAAAATTACTCCTTTAATTCCACCATATGCCCACGATGCTTGGCTGGCCAAACTAATACTTGATGATTACATGGATCGATATCATGTATGTGTTTCAACATATTTGACCTTTCAGGAATGCCCTAAAAAACATTAAAGACATTTTTAGGTTCCTTCATTGCTTGACTCTTGAAGCTCTTCAAGATCAATTTGCCTCCCACTGTCCTCTTGGCATATGAGTTCTTGTTCTCGGAAAACCCCTTTCCTCGCAATGAAGACAACATTGTCACTCGGTCTATAGAAGAGATATCCAAAGGACTTTTGTGGATAGACCGATGAAAATACACCGCTCACTACGAGGTTCGAGCTTGTCATGAGTCTCTCGTCTTACGAAAGCCTCGCAACCCCAAGCCTTGATATGTTCCAACGAGGGAGCTTTCCCTGTCCACATCTCGTGAGGTGTTTTGGCAAACTTCTTAGTTGGGACTAGATTAAGGATATGGGCGGCAATCTTTAAGGCATACCCCCAGAATGAGATAGGTAACGAAGCTCGACTCATCATGGAACGAACCATGTCCACCAAGGTTCGATTGCGCCTCTCAACCACACCATTCAACTGCGGTGTCCTAGGTGGCGTCAATTGCGAAACGATTCCACATTCCTTGAGGTAGTAGTGAAATTCAATACTAAGGTACTCACCTCCTCGATCGGATCGGAGCATCTTAATTTTCCTACCCAGCTGATTCTCCACTTCTTGCTTAAACTCTTTGAACTTTTCAAAAGTTTCTGACTTGTGCTTGATTAAGTAGATATACCCATATCTGCTATAATCATCAGTAAAAGTCACATAGAAGTGGTTCACATCCCTTGTGGTGGATCTAAAGGGTCTACATACATCCGTATGTATGAGATTCAATAAACCCTCACCCTTTTCACAAGAACTAGTGAAGGGTGACTTGGTCATCTTTCCAAGTAAACAAGATTCGCACGTGTCATCTGATTTGAGGTCGAACGACTCCAACACGCCATCCTTTTGGAGTTGGGCTATGCGCTTCTTGTTAACATGTCCAAGACGACAATGCCACAAGCATGCTTTGTCCAAACCATTAGACGAATCAATGTGCAACACATTATTTCCTAAGTTGTCTACAACATTCACAGTTTCATATACTCCATTACAAGCCAATGCTTCAAAATAGAAAGTACCATTCAAGAAAGCATTAGTAGAACCAATTTCATTATTAAACGAAAATCTAAAACCTTGTCTGTACAAACCATGAAAAGAAATAATGTT